CTCTGGGCTACCCCCCCCCATGCGCCGGGGTCCCGGGTGTGGCTGCGAGTGTGTGTCGCCGTGCCTCGGGGTGTGCGAGTCCGGAGCCCGGGCCTTCCCCGTGGCCCTGGTGTGAGTGTGTGTCCCCAGGAGCGGCGTCTTCTGTGTCCCTTCGTCCCGGAGCCTGCGTGGCGTGGGTATGTCCCTGGGTGTGTGAGAGGCCCCCGAGCCTGGGTCTTCTCTCAGTGTGTCTCTCCTTGTGTCATTTGAGTGTGAGTGTGAGTACCTCTTGCGTGTACGTGTGTACTCACTCCTCCCCTCACCCCCAGTCTCTGTGTCCCTTGGGTGCCCCTTCAGCATGACTCCTGACTGCTCTTTGTGCATCAGTGTGTGTGTGCATGTGTGTGTGTGAGAGAGAGAGAGAGAGAGAGAGAGAGAGACCAGGTGCCTCACTGTCCAGGCCATTCACCAGGCCTTCAGGTCCTGCTGCCAGTGTGGCCCCCATCTCCCTGTGCTGACCTTGGGGGTCCCTGGGATTACACGGAGTCAGGGGATGCTCCTGTCACCTCTGTTCTGGGCTGGCCTCTCCCACCCTGGACCCCTGCCCAGAGGTAGAACAGGGTCAGCCTCACAAAGGAGGGAGTGTGGGAGGAGAGGATGGCCCGGTCAGCTGGAAGGCCACGGCCGCAGAACGAGGTCAGGCCTGGACACTCCTCGAGGCAGGGGAATGTGTCCGGGGTGGGGGCCCTGCTGAGAATGAAGGCTAGCCTCCTGGCCTCCAGGGGTGGTCTCTGAGGGGGAGCCCCCAGGCCCGATGTGGGAGAGTGTGGGGCTGGTACTTCCTCTCTTTCCCAGGGTGGGGGGTCCTGGGGCAGGGGTCAGGAATCTTCTTTTCGCTTGGATAGCCTGAGGACCCAGTCTCAGGCCACAGCAGGGAGGAGGTGGGGGGTGAGCTGTACTTTCCACTGGCTCTGGAGGTGAGATATAACCTCAAAGTCCTTGGCCTTCCTGAGGGATTCAGCTGGGGGAAGGCATGCCCTGCCTGCCTGGAGCCCCATCTGTTCCCCTGCGGATGCTGGGGAGAGAGGACAGGCTCATTAAAATGCTCAGCCCTTCCCTGCAGGCCCTGCTCGAATGGCCATCAGCTGCAGCGTCCATCCGTCCATCTGCCCCAGCACAGCACCTGCCCAGTGTCCTGGCCTCAGGCATAGACTGCAAAGGAGGGCACAGTCTGGAGATGTCCAAGCTCCCTGTGACCATGGGTTGGGGGCTATCCTCCTTTCTCAGAGTCTCAGGGTGAAGCTCAGAACCCTCCTCGTGGCTTGTGAGGCCCCACTTTGTGTCTGGGTCTCTCACTCTGTTCCATCACGCTCACGTTCCCGAGGTCCCTTGCCCCTTCCTTTTCTGCCAGAGAGCCTTCCCCCAGCTCTTCCCTCTCTCCACTAAGTTGGCCCCATCCTTCACTTCTCCATTCCTCATTCAGGAGGCTCTTTTTTGGTCAGCCAGGTTGGCTCAAGAATTCTTGTTCACGGGGTGCCTGGCTGGCTCAGTCGGTAAAGCATGTGACTTTTGATCTCTGGGTCCTGAGTTCAAGCCCCACACTGGGCATGGAGCCTACTTAAAAAGGGGAAAAAGAATTCTCATTCTTGATGCTCTTAGAGCCCTCATTCCAGTGGGGGTGTCTTGTTTATACCCCCCAGAGGATGGTAAGCCTTCGAGAGCAGGGACCATGTCTGTCCTTGATCACCAGCTTAGAATGGTGCCTGACACATAGTAGGTACTCAATAGATAGTTGCCAATTGAGTGGATATGGGTGACCAATGGCTCCTAAATTGTGCTGTTTCAGGTTTTCTCTTTGGAGGAGTCTAGGGAGGAGGGAAAGCTAGTGAACTCCTTGGGGCCGAGGTACCAGGTTAGTGTAAGGGGGAGGAGGCCTACTGTATATTAGATAAACTCTAAATTAATTAACATATTTTATATTTGATAAGTGCCAGATGCTGGGCTAGCTCCTTTGCCAATGTGACCTCTTAAAACAGGAGCATAGCAGAAAGAATATAATCTTCTTAGATCAAGTTTGAAAAGATAAAGTAGGTGAGAGTATATACATGAATAATATAAACACATGTCCTATGAAATATATATATCCTATATAAATGTGATAATGGTATATTGTTCTTTCATATCCACTATCTCTCTGTTTCTATGGCAGCCCTGATAATTAGGCAGGGAAAATGGGTTCGTACCCATTTTACAGATGAAGAGGTGAAACGTAGCACTTAAGTGACTGCCTGAGGTCACAGTTAGTTCGTGGGGCACTCAAGCCTCAGTCTCCCTGAATGCCCAGTCCTCCTTTCTTCTGCGAGCTTGTCTTCAGTGCCTTTGTATTCTTTTTTTTTTTTTTTAAGATTTTATTTATTTGTTCATAAGAGACAGAGAGGCAGAGGGAGAAGCAGACTCCCCGCTGAGCAGGGAGCCCGATGCGGGACTCGATCCCAGGACCCTGGGATCATG